CTAAAATAGAAAAAATACTCCTTAATTAGTTCGTTAATTTCGATAAATACACTGCAAGAATTATCCTTGTATAGTTTTCTATAAAATTGCTCAAATGGTCGGCCGAGCAAATTTACCTCCATGCTTGGAAACCTTTAATAGGCACTTCATTCTTCATTTGTGTGTAAATTTTGATGAACTAAATAAGGATTGCTAATGGGACGTCGACTAAAGTAATTGCTTAAATGGTTCCGGTCTGCTTAGAGAGATTGCCCGCTAAAATTGAAAAGGAAAATTATAAGTCAATTTTTTATTTGGCGCCCTATAGATTTTTATCAAACTCTTTAGACATGAAAAGTGCTAAAATTGTACCATCTGAATAAAATGACTGCCAGATCTAGATATAGAATAAAAAGATTAACCGCATCTTCTCCTTGACTATTGGGTACATTTTGATGAAACTGTACAGGAACGATCTTTGTATAGTTTTCCATAATTATTGCTTAAAATGTTCCGATCTGCTGAATTAAATAGCTGCCAGAGCTAAAAATAATAAAAATCTTTTAAACAACATCTCCTTAACTATTTGGTCGATTTTTATGACACTATCTAAATGGTCTTTGGGTGGCCCTCTAAAAATAATTGCTCAAATGGTTCCAATTTCCAGAACAAGATTTCCGCTAGAGCTAAGAATGAAAACTTCACCATTTAAAAGTTTTGTACAGTGTAAATATACTTTATGAAGAATCAGTTTGTTTCTTATCATAACTTTTTTATTAGACAGTAGATTGTAATAATATTTTATACATAAATGTTAAATGATCATGTACAGGTTTAATGCAAATTCCGAAGGGCCCCAGAAGGGAGGCATATTAAAATCGTACCGTCCGTCTGTATGTGAGTCTCCACTTACACAACATTCGTTTTCGGACTTAACTTTGTCATGCATTGAAGAATTTTAAGTTTACTTTAGACAAACGTCTATCACATCTTGATTGTGTGTTGCATCTTAGACCCATGTCCCTTACTCAATAATGGTCAAGGTTACAATGACAGTTTAAATGTTTACATTATTACAACTAGAGTTTTGAGGTACACGCATTTGTGTCCGGACTGTAACTTTTATGCATTGAAATTGTCTGCCACATCAAACGACGTTCACGTCTAAGGCCCATTTAAATACCTAAAAGGTCATGGTCTCAATTAAGGTTGAATGTTGTTATTCTTGTGCAGACTGTGGCTTTGTCGTCCGTTAAAAGATGTTATAAAATATATTGTTCATATTTCAAAGGGCCATACCTTGGATGGACCAGTGTTGGGCGTCACAAGGTCAGGGTCACCTGTGCTAACAATAGATTTTTCACACTTTTCTTTTACACCTTTTGTTTGTTTTCATACTAATGTTTCATATTGAGATGGAATATACCAAAGTTGATCCTTAAAGTTTTGGTGGAGTTTGATTTTCAATCAAACAAAGTCTGCAATTTTGATATGATTTTGTTGTGATCAATGCTTCCAAGGGACCCGTCTTCCAGAAAGTGTATCAAATAACAATAACATGCCAACTTTTAACAATAACAAAAGAAATCATCTTGACGCTATCAAGTTATATAGCTGCGTTTACAATTTTTACAAATTTGTTGTGAATAACTCTGTGAATGGTTAAATTTTTTTGAAACATTGTTACTGACCAGAATCTGGGGCGGGAAATTTGTGTTTACTTTTTTATCTTATTTTTTACAAATACAGTGTAACTTCCGAATTCCGGAACTTCTAAAATCCGGAAACTTCTAAAAACCGAACATTTTTTTCGGTCCCGATTTTTTCCCTTCTATTTTCTATTAATATAATACTTCTGAATTCCGGAACTTCTAAATTCTGAATTCCGGACGATATTTTCGTAAAATTAGAGTCAAATCAATGCAATTTTACCTCCAAAAACCGGAAATATCCAAAGGTGTGAAATACATTGTAAATCGAGAATGTTTTTACCTGGCAGGAAGATTTAATCTCCCTATCGATTGTTTATTAATTAGCGGTGATCGTGTAATTTGACACACGTTAAAATCACAAACTGTTAAATGTTATGTTTGAAGTGATGCGGTTAATTAAAGTAATTTACGGCGGTCAGTTAATTTGAAGTGTTTATTAGCGGATTAAATGACAATTAATTGGTACAATGTATGCATCAAACCTCTTTAGGGATTTTACTGCATTTGAAGTAATAATTAATTAACTGGCATCGGACAATATATAAGTTTATGCAATTAACAACATTTCTACAAACTGATAGAAATTCAAAGGCATTTGCAGATAAGATAAAAATGAACAAACTTTAATTGATTAAAATGAAGACAGAACAATCTTTAAATAATGGTCTTTTCAAAGCAAAGTGTGTGCAGAAACAATCTACCTTAAAAAGTCAGATGCATACATATGAATGTTGTTGAAAGAGACTTTACGATGTTAAGAGACTGTACATTATAGTGTAACAGATAGAGACAAGTAATTTGTTTATCATGAGATATAAAGATTACTATAACAGGCATAGATATGTGACTGAAATGCATATTTTACAATGAACCATTCATTACATGTGCTACCTATCATTTACAGCAAAACATTGAAAAATCATTATAAATGTGTGTGCTACCTATTCAGATTAAGCAACATAGAAATAGATGCAAATATGTAACTAACATGCATAAACATTGTTTATTTACAATAAAAAATCGTTGCATATGTATGTTTGACATACGTATCATTATTATAAAGTATTAAATATATAATACGAGAATACAAGTTAAATATAAATGTATTCTTTTCATTCACATCTTTATCTTGATTAAAAGACTATTATGTATGGTATTACAGTAATGGCCACATTTTCCTTGACATTTAGTGACATTTAGTGGCTTAGTCTTGTCCACATTATCAAAAACCTCTGAATTACAGAAACCTCTGAAATCCAAACTTTTTGACAAGTCACATGGGTGTTCGGTTTTCAGAAGTTACACTGTATAAGGTTTTAGATGATTATACTAACCAGGCAATCGATTGTTATGATTTTTTGTACACAGATGAAACATCATACAATATAGATCAAGTTCATATTTTCCCCATCTATTTTTCGAAAGGTCATTGTGGCAGGTCAGTCTAACGAACCACTTTTGGTGATACATCTAGTTTTCCTTATGTAATATTCCTATAACTTTAGGTGGAGTTTGGGGTCATTGTCACGGTAATTGGATTAAAAAAACATAAATATATTTTTAAACAGTTTTGCTTATACAGGCTGTATTTATAAACTGGTGTCCTTCATGTCTAACAGGGACATGCCTAGGTTGGTTCTCTTCCTACGATTATATTTAGGGTTCATTTAGATTAATGTCAAGGTCACCAGAACAGCAAGGTTTTCGAGAAATAAAATGATACCACCTTGAAGTCTTAGGCATGGGTTTATAATAATGCAGCTTACCCTGAACAAAAGTGGTTGTTCGTTTATCATGATTCCTTGGAAAAAAAGCTCTTCTGAAACTTCGAGGCCAATTTTCGCAATTTGGTAAATATGTCTTGGAAAAAAGCTTTTCAAAGTTGTTCTAGGGTAGCTTGAAATATATTTCACAATGCATTTTTTAAAACATCTTCTCTGGAATCGCATTGCCTTGAAATTAGGTACTTAACAAACACATTATCTAGTGGATTTTTACCAAGGTTGAATTACGTAGTCTTGGGTTTAAACAATGGAATGCCACGAATATTGAACATAAGAAGCTTGCTACTCTTTATACATATAAAAACATATGTTATTTCGTTTGACAGAACCTGGCGGGCAATCGACACCTGGTGATCAAGAAATAGACAATAAAGATTTAGTTAGAATTGATTCCTTAGAAGCTAAAGTAACAAGTATTGCATCCCTCTTGAAAATAAAAGATGTGATCAGTACAGACGTTACTCAAGCAACTGAAAAATCTGGACTTTTATACCAAATTGAAACAAACCTGACGACACTTTCTCTTCAAATTCAAGATTTAAAGAAAAGTGATACCGACAAACATTTGTTAGGGACGATTGTGAAGAAAACATTATCCTCTGAAAAACGGAACCGGAAAAAGTTTGAGACTGTATTGAAAGGTGCAGTTGAAAACATCAACAATTCTGTTAGTGAAATGAGGACGGAAACAGAAAGCCTAATGGAAAAATATAATGAAACGTTTGTTAAAAGCTGTGAAAAGTCTATTGAGGCGATGAAGGAAGTTACGGTGAACATTAACAAAACAATTAATGAAGAAATTAACATCATAACCGAGTCTGTACATGATCTATCAGAAGAACTGTCTGACGCAAATAAAGAAGGTAATTTTATACGTTTTTTTCAGACCTATCAAACAATTCTATGCCCTTTTGTTCAGAGTGACAGATTGAATTAGATTGCTCCTCACCATTATATGTTTAAATTCCGATAGGGGTTTTGAAATCTTCATGACTTTGTTGAAGCTACATGTAGGTGGTTTTACTCAGGTGTCCGCTCGTACGTGAGAGAAGGGCCCCGAGGGCTTCTTTTAACAGTGAAGCTTGAAATTCGCCATATAATCCCTACTGTGTTGGCACGACACAAAAACCACCCCACCCCCACTAAAATAATCGTATGTACATTAAACAGATGATAAACGCATGACCGCATGCAAGTTACACTTGCTTATTGTGCGACAAATGTTTAAATTCGATCGAGTTTCAAAGATTTTTCACGGAGATGCAGTCAAAGCATTTTGATAAGTTGAGGGTTTCCGTTGATGTTAATACACTGAATATTGTGCATAAAGGCTATTCTGGCATTACGTTCAAGATTAATTTGGTAATTCTCCATTTCGTTATTTGATTTCTCGTATAAGGAAATATTTTCACGTGCTTTTAACATGCAAATGGCATGTAATTTGACAGTTAAGTTTTGTTAATGGAACTTACTTTTGTCAATGCAATAACCTATGTATATGATGCTCAGGGTATCGCTGTAAAAACGGAAACAACAGCACATGCTTACTTTATTTTATCCGTTTATGCATATTTTCCTCCCTGTATACATGCGTGCGCAGGTTTTGTTATGCAAGAATAACGTTTCTAGCTTTTTTCTTGCCTCAGCAAAAAGACAGAAACGCACATGACTTATTCGTATTGAAAACGAAACAAGGGGTCGAGCAAGTTAGAGAAAACCGATTTAATCATCAATTGATTAAAAGACGATTTTCTCATTATGTTTTCATTCTATTTCTTTTTAGTATAATATTATATGATTATTTCTAATATAACTAAAACTAATCAACAACTTGTAATGTCCCTAAATGACATAAGTCTCGTTACAAATTTGTTTATAATAATTATACTGTTATAAAAGTTTATATGAAATAGCAACTGTTTAACTATACTATAAAGTGTCTTCCCTTTTAGATGGTAAATGGTCAAGTTGGAAAAACTGGGGTTCATGTAGTGCCAGTTGTGGAGGTGGTATTCAAAGTCGGCTAAGAACATGTTCTAACCCAAGACCATCTTTATTAGGAAGATATTGTGACGGAAGTCCCGACGAGACAAGAACTTGTAACAAACGCCAGTGTGAAGGTATATGATTCAATTGATCCACTAGGCGCTGTAATGAAAGTGTTTTCAAACGTACAAATTTATCAGTTTGTGCAAATTTCAATCGAATCCCTCACACACTTTGATTTATTCACATGAAAACATCTGACATTCATGAAAAAAACGTTTTATGTCCCTATCCACATAAAAGAAGAAACGATTTCTATGCATATCTAAATAGTTGTAAAGCGTTTGTAAAGAAAGCTCAGATTAGGCTACTAAGATAGACGATAAAAATATCTCAGCGCAAAAGGGGCATTTATTTTTTTGAAGTAGAAAAGATTTCTCCTTAACCTTTGCCTAAATCACAAGATACAAAATTTGATTTGAGATTTCAAAGTAAACTTTGCAATATTTGTAAATTAAAATTTTGAACTCCGTTGTTTCCTTGCGCAAAAAAATCTCCTGTCCCAAAAGTATGAACAAATATTAAACACAATAGATTATAAAAAAAATGTTTCACCTTATTTTTTTTAAATAATTATTTCATTATTTTTTGAACAACTTGAACACACGTGTCAGACTGGATTGTATTGTGATTATATCGGTGCTCGATAGATCAATATTTTCATTCCCAACCAATGTCTTTTGAAAATTGCGCCTTTATGAATTAGCGATGTCACAACGCTGCTTTACAAATTGCCGTAGATTTTTCTCATAAAATTTCTATCATCTTTATATGGATAAAACCCATGGCGTTAGTGATTTTTAATCATACGGGAAAAAATTTTCAAAAAAAAGAACGGAAAAAAATTAATTAAAAATTTTGTTTTTTGGGAAGGGGGTTTTAAAAAAAAGGGTTTATATTCCCTTTTTTCGAATGTGAACTTTAAAACCTTTTTTTAACGGGGAACGTTTTCTAAAGGGAAAAAAACCGGAAATAGTATTTTTCAAAAAGCCCCCGATGCGCCTTTTAATTTGCATGGGCAAAAAAATTTTTTCTGGATAGAAAAGTAAAGAAAGTTCAAATTTAAATTTTTCCGAAAAATTAATTTTTAAAAAAAAGTATAAATAATTTTTTAAAATTGGGGCTTTTTTACAAATTCCCCAAAAAGATGCTTTTTTTAGCTTTGAGAAACCAAAAAACTTTTCCCAAAATTTTAAAGACATGGAAAAAAATTGAATTTTTTTAAAAAACGACCCCTCCCCCCTTGCGGATCAAAAAAGAGTTTTTTAAAATTTAATTTTGTTTTTAAAAAAGTGCAAAAAGAATTTTATAAGTAAGGAAAAAAAAGATAACTTTAGGTTTTTAAATTAAATTTGTTTTATTTTAAAAAATCAAAAAACATTTTTATTTTAAAAAAAAATTTATTTAATTTCATTTCAAAGTTTGGCAAAGCACCCAAAAAAATAGTAATTTTTTAAATTTTAAAAAAAAATAAAAGGAAATTAAAAAAAATTAGAAATTTGACCTTTCCAAAACCCCTTTAAAAATTGGGGGAAATGACACTTAAAGAGTTTTACTATTGTCACAACACAAAAAGGGTATTTCAGCAAATACTTGTTGTAATTAAACCCTAATCCATGTTTCCTTTAAAAGCAATTTCTTTGAAAACCTTTCCCAAAAATGTTCAGGGGAATCCGTTAATAAAACCAACAAAAAGTCATTAAATATTCAAATATCTCAGGTTAATATTGCCAAACAATATATACATGTAGATTATATAAACGTCGCACGATTATTCAATGGAAAGCGTAAAGAGGATTTTTTTTTATATTGGGAAAAACTCGGCGCCTTGTATAAAAAAATAAACCGTTATAATTTAGCTGACATTATGACTTCACGATGATATTTATTCAACATTATAATTTAACCATCCGTGAGGTATGGTGTATTGGTATAGGTGCTGGGCTACTGATCTGTAGGTTTCTGATTTGATTTCAGCACGGAAGAAAGACACACATTTTTTAATTACTTGCAAGAATTTTATTTGACATCATTCTACTACATCTGGTTTAAAGGATACCCCTTTTGAAGCCAAATGTTTTTTAAAACAAATTTTTTTTATTCATTATTTTAAAAAAAAGCAAGCGGTTTTAAAAAATTCAAAAACAAAAGAAACCTTTCAACCCCGGAAAGGCCAACCCCGGGACCCCATTTACCGGCTCGCAAAAAGGGGGGCAAGCACAACCACAAAAACGGGGGTTTTTTAACGAGTTTTTTAAGAGGCAAATTTTTCAAATAAAATGAAAACAAATTCTGAAAAAATTCAAACCATGAGTTTTAACCTTTTTTATTTATTTAAAATTTTTTTAAAAACCCCTTTTCCGGGGTAACCCCCTAGGAAATTCTTAAACAAACTGGTTATTTTTACAAATTATTTTTGATTCCCAAAAAATAAATCGTAAAAACAAAAATAAGGTAAATGCAAAGGTGTTGGACAATACCCGTTTGATAATTATAAATGTATTCCGTGATGCATATATGGGTATTTTATTCTTATATTGAGAATTCGTCCGTATATTTGAGAATTGTGTTGAGATTCGTGTGTATTACTTAAGAGTTTTTGGGGAATTCGTTCTTATTTTTCAGACATGGGATTTCATGCGTATATGTATGCAACACGATGTAAATTACACGTATTAGATAATTCATCGGTATTTGTTACAGACGTTTTGCCAATTCGTTTGTATTTGTAACGCGTATAAATGAATATTTGTGAGTAATTTCAAACATATGTCGGTTATTCCATATTATCTGTAACACATTTGTAAAGAATTTGTGCGTATCCGTTGCATTTGTATGTGGATTTTATAAGTATATGTAACATTGAGATTTCTGCTTTATTCTCTTAATGAAACCGGTACTTGTAAGAACCAGAAAGAATACTTATTGTGGGGTTTTATCACTATCGAGCTGAAAAAAGTAAAATATATGTGCATCTTTATCTTTATATCTTGTAACTTAATGTTTTAAATCTATTACTTTTCAGAATTAAAAGTGGCATTTACAGCAAACAACTTAGATGCAAGCTCATCATCAGACACTATCATTGTGTTCAGATCAGTAAACATTAACTACGGCAATGCATACAGCACTTCTACGGGACAATTTACTTGTAAAGTTCCCGGATTATATCATTTCTCTGTAACGCTAACAAAGGCTTATCATAAAGTGGGTCTTGTCATCGCAAATTTAAGGATCAATTATAGTATAAAATAATTAATAATCAAGCACCCTCATACCGATCGGAATGATCGGCTTTTATTATGAACAACTATAAAAGGCTCGAGAAGTTGCTGTCGCCCTTTCACAAAATCTGATTTCATTCCATAAAAGGCGCCGCGCTTCGGCGCGGACGCCAATTACGAATGTGGTATGACCCATACGATCACGACGACAAGTTTGAATATGGATCGACACCGTTAACTATGTCTGGAACATTTCACCTGAATAAAAATAATGTTGTAGATATTTACGGTACTCCTACCAATTTTATAGGCAGTAGCGATACTTGTTCATTTACAGGATACTTGATAACACCCGATTAGTTTTAATAGTATATGCGAGATAATCCCTCTAATTAAACTGTTAAATGTAACGATATATGTTTGAACACATGTACAAATAATAATCAAGTTAATTACAGAAGATTTTAAGTAAAATTCAACTAAACCGTGATGTCTAGACATATTCCTATTCTCGATGTTTTCTAAAACTGATTATGGATGAATATTTTCAAATTGCTTTTATATTTCAAATTTCTATCAGAGACTATTAAAAGAACATTTCAAATCAACACCCTAATAAAAAGTAAATAGCCATGTACGAAATGAAATCATAAAATTAATATTGATGTTGAAACACAGTCAGATACAGATACTCGTATTTTCTTCAAAAGTGTCTTCTTACAGATAAGAAAATACAAGAATCAGTATCTGACTCATACGACGTTAGACATATTTATAAACACATTAAATCATAAAAAGATCTTTATAGTAACTGAAATTAAATGTATGTTCACAATGAAAATATAAAAAAAAACTATAGAAAAAATTTGCATGGCCTTTAAGCTTTGGGCAGTGTAAGATGTTGGTAAATTGTATTCGCACGGAATTTTCGTGCTCTTATTTCAATCGGATAAAATTCACTTTTTTACAGAATGTATGTCAAACGATATACATAAAAAAATTATAGCATCTTTTAGTTTCGTCAGTGCTAAAATCAACAGTAACTTTGTTCATAGAAATGGCCTACCATTTTTTTATTCATTTCTCAATAAACTTAATTTATTCAAGAGTTAGCTACAACTTTCCGTTGGTTTCTATGGTGTCCTGTTCGATGCAGTTAAAATATCGTCTGTTAGGATTGACTAAATATCTTGTTTTAGCTCCACTTTTTAAATAAGAGGGAGAGCTATTGTAATTCTGAATTTTGACAGAAGTATGGCCCTTTTTGAACAAAAAATAATTCTACATAATTCAGGCTCTTGTTTAAATATCAAGCACTGAGAATAGTCAAGCGCAATGGCGTTTGTTAATAGATAACTAGCGAGATTTAACATTCGCTTTCGAAGAAGTTTCACTATAGAAACTAGTACTGTAAATAACCTTCTGTTCTCGACAGAAACATGCAAAAATTAACTAAAGATTAATCATCGCGAAGATTTTTACATTTTGATTCGAACCAGGACTAAACTTTAGCACAACCTTGAATTGCGTGAAAAGTTTCTTGCGAGTATGTTAAATCTTGCTACTTTATCTATATAAATTCAGAAAGACGGGACAAGAATTTTAGAAAATCTTGCCTGTTAATAGGAGTCTTTTAACTGGCCCAAGAAGGACACCGTATATTTCAACTGTAACAATTCCACGTGGAAAGAAACGGTTATCTTGCAGACGTAAAGAAACACTATTTGAATAGCTCTGCAGGGGGCGGGGGTATAGTAGTATAATTATCAATCGCCTCTGTTGATTTGAATCCCGTCAGGGACTAGTAATTATTTTACGAGAGTTGTTCGTTCTACTTAGAATAGAGCTCGTGCAAATGTATAATCATTTTTACCTATTTTAGCCACATAATTTATCAGATGTAAGTTACAAGTAGTTTATTGCGTGTACGGTTGGCTTGTCTTTTATAATTCTAATATAGAATGTCTGTGTACTTGGTTAATGACATTGTTATATGTACTGTGTGTACAGGTGGTACAAGGATGAGACTTAGATAAACAAATAAAAAAGGGATAAAAAAATGTTTGGGTATTCCTACACCAGTCAAATAATTGAGAAGCGCTGTGACTTAAACAATACCATCAATAAATCAACAACACCTTGGCATTTGATATTTTCTAGTTACATCAGCGTATCTCTCTGTGTAAAACAATCAAACAGATGAAAGAAAAAGATTATTCTATTCTGATAATGATATTTTTGACTTTAGAATAACATTTTCTATTTTATAGAACACATTGTAAACATGTTATCAGTAGATTTCTGTTTCAGTTACATGTTGCATATAAATAAAAAGTGTAGTTCATTAAAACTTTGTTTCATTAAAACTTTTACATTAATATTGTTTGGTTTCACAGTACATTCAAACGGTGTTGTTATCCTGACAATTTGAAGTTCCCTCCAGTTACAATCATTTAACCTATGCTTGATTATAGAGAGCCACGGTTGTCTAATATTGTTCCTTTTCAATAAATTCAACCATGTGGATTATATATCAGTACAGTTCCATTATATATGAATTGAAACACAATCAAATTAAACCGGAAGTCATTATATTAATCCAAAGTTACAATATATGAAACAATTTGGTCAGTGTATGAAACCAAGGTAGCTATATATAATTTGATTTTCTCAATTTATGATACCAAATCTTCAATTTATATATATACCAAAGAGGTTATATTAATTGAAAAATGAACAATTTAAGAAGACCATGGCTTTCCATTCCTGATTCTATGATAATAGGCAGCTAGTAAACCTCAATTTTATAGAGGCCAAAATAAAACGTATGTATAAGGAAAACAAAAACAGGATGCCGCAAAAGAAAAGTGAAAATAAAACACTTCTGGTAAACAGAAAGGAAATAATTTCTTGTAGTTGTTGTAACGCTCTGGTCTGACAATTGTGATAGAGTGCAGCCATATGTGTAATTGAATTGAATTAGAGATGACTTAATTGTATTAAGATGATTTAATTGTATAACAGGTAAATGAATTGTATTAGAGGCGACTTAAATGTATTAAAGGTGAAATGATTGTACTGCAAGTAAATGAATTTTATTGGAGATGAATTGCAGACAAAGATTGGGGTGGGATGAAAATATATCTGAAGCTGACACAGAATGCTGGTCCCACTGGTTAGCCAGTCTGTCGGAATTGTCAAAGGTGAGTATTGAGAGATGTCTAGAACCGATTGTGTTAGATAGGCATTCTACTAAAAGATGCATCGGAAAAGGCGTACGGCTCAGCAGCATATTTAAAGGTGTACGATGCATATGGTGTTACGAGCCAGGCGTAACGAGAACGAAAAGCCAGCAACAAACTTGTAACAATAACAAATTTATTACAGAAAAATTGTTAAAGAAAAATTAAAGCACAATTTATGTTTACAAATACCTGAAGTCCAAATAAAAATATAAATTTCAAATGTCTTATCTGATCCTGGAATGATCCCTTTTTGAATAGCACAGTTAAATCCAAGTTAAATCCAAGAACACTTTAGAATAAATTCCCACAATAAAATCCACAAGAATAATTTAAACTAATTTAAAAATAATCCAAGCTCCAATAAATCACTTAATATCCAAGTTGAATAATACTCCAAATATATTGATGTCTTAAAATGTAACTGATGACTTAAAAGATCACTGATGACTTAAAGGGTAATCCGAAAGAAAAATGTCTCCTATATATATTAAGCTAAGAGGTTTCTAGAATAGTCTTCCATTTTCTACAGTAATCATAATCTAGCAACTTCAACAATAAAGATCATTCCGGAAATTTCTATCTAATTATAATGCATGAGTTTTCTACAACAGTTAAGAAAGTTCTAGTAAATACATGTAGTTTATGTTCTAAAAATAGAACAATGATAATATTGGAAATACCAACTGGTCAGATATAAATTATATACATTTAATATGTTGCATACATAACAATGGCAACAATTACTCATTTTTTTCACCTATAATACATTTCAGTAAAAATTTGGCCTGATTATATGTTGTAAGGGCCATTTATTAAGCTTATCTAAATGTGACATGCAAGCAACTTGACTAGTTGTAGACACGGCCTAAGAGGCTGATACAGAGTGGCGATATACCATGATACATATATCTACATCATCATATATTGTATGGATACTACATCCCATCTTTTCTTTATAAAATTGAAAATCAATTTCTGAAATTAATACTATGAAGTTTATAGATGATAGTATATAAAATTCGTATGAAAACTGAAAACTGCTTTTATCAATGATTATAATTAGTCTACTTTGAAATATTCTCTTCTTTGTGTATTAAAATCTAATCATCTTGAAATAATAAAACATTAAAATGTCATTTCGTGTCAATTCTTAAAGTTTTCATGCTCTAAACTAGATGTTCTCACGTAGGTTTGTTATTAATGTGAAAAGTTATCAAAGCAAAACTATTAGTTCATTCGTTATCAACCTTATAAAAGTAATGTGATATCCTTAGTGGAATTATCACCGGGATGCAAGTCGCCATTGTAATATCTGATATATGGCCGAGAACCAAGTAAGTAACACAGTGTATGTTTTGTATGGGTAAGAGTTTGTATTAAGACGACCGTAGGGAGTATCAAACTCTTACCCATATAACTGTAAATCGGCTCTTACAACTAGATATCAGATAAAGATAAAGAAAATGCCACCTCTTTAATTAAGCATAACATTATTTTTCCCCAGCAGTCACGTACAATCAATGATAGGGTCCAATTACTTAATCTGGCATGTAAAACAATGAGTTTTCAACAATACCTAGGATTGTTAATGCAATTCATTCCTGTCATATGAAACAAAATAATATTTTGCTTCCTTTTTCTAGAAAATATAAACAGTCAGCAATTAATAATTAACATTTTTCTTAGAGTTAAAAGGATATCAAAAAGTTACTGTGTTCTCATTTGTCTCTGCGAGCTGGGCTCCACGTGCATTATCTATGTAATAAATTTGAATGTATCCTCCCATTGCTACAGTGTCAGCCTTTTGAGAAACACCTGACCTGGCTAATTAAAATATGCCAATCACAATTTTCACTATCTTCATGAAAAAGCGGCTACACTAATAATTGCCGAGTAAGAGCCGATTTGCAGTTATATACGTTAATTCACTACGAGCGACTATTGTACACTACTTGGTATTTGAGAGGCTGATACAGAGTGGCTATGTAACATGATACATATATCTATATCATCATATATTGTTGTATGGTGAATTTGACTTTACCATGACCTTGTTAAATCAAAGGGCTGCAGCTCTATGGTATTTTCTGATCTTTGCAATCTAAATCATACTGACTATCTGTATGTACTTTCCTGTATAAGTTTATTTTTATATACTATAATTCATCTTACGCAGCGACAGCGTTTTGATTTTCTTCTATAACAGTTTGAGATTGATACATATGGAATTTTGCATGAAAAAAAAATAGAATTGCCTCGACTAGGATTTGAACCATAGGCCTCTCACACCCTCAACGAGACCGCTTACCTCTGCACCACGGCGAAGTAATACATATGTACCTTGAATAAAAACGAATACATTATGTTATTCTAAATTGAGAATTTCCATTTCGTGTGTGCAATCCTTATTAATTTCGAGGTATTTTGTTCACGATAAACCTGTTGTTTAACACTGATGAAAATAATTTAGCGAAAATCTTCTCGCCAAAACAGTCCGACATGTATATATTCCACTACTCGACAGTCAGATTTATTCGTGTACTACGCTCTGGAGTATTCGGTAATCGACATAGCTAAAAATAGCATTTTCATTGATAAATATGATATTCATGATAATCCGAAGCTTTACGGAAATAGCCGAACATTTTTTATTGGGTAAAAAAGATATTCATCCGCGAAATTTGTGATTGTAACCTCATATTCCTATTGACTAATCTAAACTTTTAATGCACTGTAATTCGTTAAATGCCTACATTAAAAATGATTCTTTCTTTTAAATTGCTGGTTTTCAAGCAGTTTTGAGTGAGAACTACTTTGCGTTGTTAGGACTGTGAGGAAATTTTGTGTTAGACCGTGGATGTTAGCTATGTGTTTACTGATCTTACGATCAGAAAATACAACAAGAGGGCCATGATGGCCCTGAGGTCGCTCACCTGTATAAAGGCCCCCCAACCCCCAACGTTGCAAGGCCAATTTAACCCAAGGGCTTTTATTTGCACAAACTTGGTAGACAACAATAAGAAGATGTTTCATGCTAAACATCTAAGCTCTAGCTCATTGGGCTTTTTAAAAGCAGATTTTTTAAAAGTTTTTACTATACACATATAGTTAAAAACAATGACACCCCTGGGGCCGGGTCAGTTTTGACCCCGGGGCTTTCATTTAAACAAACTTTGTAGACACTTACTAGAAGATGTTTCATGCTTAATATCTAAACTCTAGCTATTTGGGTTTTTTCAAAGAAGATTTTAAGTTTTTGCTATACACATATAAAGAAAATCAATGACCCCCGGGGCGGGGCCAATTTTGACCCAAGGGCTTTTATTTGAACAAACTTTGTAGACACTCACTAAAAGATGTTTCATGCTTAATATCTTAACTCTAGCTATTTGGGTTTTTTCAAAGAAGATTTTTTAAGTTTTTGCTATACACATATAAGGAAAATCAATGACCCCCGGGACGGTGCCAATTTTGACCCCAGGGCTTTTATTTGAACAAACTTGTTAGACACCTATTAGAACATGTTTGATGCTAAATATCTTAGCCATAGCTCTTTGAGTTCTTTAAAAGAAGATTTTTAAGTTTTTACTATATGCATATAAGGAAAATCAATGACCCCCGGGGCGGGGCAATTTTGACCCCAGGGCTTTTATTTAAACAAACTTGGTAGACACTTATTAGAACATGTTACATGCTAAATATCTTAGCTCTAACTCTATTGGTTCTTTAAAAGGAGATTTTTTAAGTTTTTACTATATGCATATAGGGAAAATCAATGACCCCCCGGGGCGGGGCCAATTTTAACCACAGGGCTTTTATTTAAACAAACTTGGTAGACACCTATTAGAACATGTTTGATGCTAAATATCTTGGCCATAACTCTTTGAGTTTTTTAAAAGAAGATTTTTTAAGTTTTTACTATATGCATATAGGGAAAATCAATGACCCCCTGGGGCGGGGCCAATTTTGACCCCAGGGCTTTTATTTTAACAAACTTGGTAGACACTTATTAGAACATGTTTCATGCTAAATATCTTAGCTCTAGCTCTTTGGGTTCTTTAAAAGAAGATTTTTTTAAGTTTTTACTATATGCATATAGGGAAAATCAATGACCCCCCGGGGCGGGGCCAATTTTGACCCCAGGGCTTTTATTTGAACAAACTTGGTAGACACTCACTAGAAGATGTTTCATGCCAAATATCTAAGCTCTAGCTCTTATGGTTTTTTAAAAGAAGATATTTAAAAAATTTTCTTTTGGTTGCCATGGCAACCAGAGTTCTGCATGGAGTCAAATTCTTTGAACAATTTTTAAAGGTGACCACCAAAGGAACATTCCTGTGAAGTTTGGATGAAATTGGCTTAGTGGTTTATGAGGAGATGTCATTTAAAGTAAAAATTTACGGACGGACGACGGACGGACGCCGGACGGACGACGGACGGACGCCGGACGAAAAGCGATCACAAAAGCTCACCCTGTCACTCTGTGACAGGTGAGCTAAAAATGAAACAATATTTTATCTCGACCGTTTTTCGGGTAACAAATATACTCGTATACATATGGCACGTCTTTATTGTCGACTTAAACTGTTGTATCCGTGTTCAAATGAAACAGTGTAATAGAATTCGGTCAAGGTAAATATGTGGCAAACATTCGTCTAGCACTTTCTAGGCTACTGCGTAATATGTGAAACAGTAAATGATTGTTATTTTCTGGAGAATAATTAACTAATGTTGATAATATGAGCATGTAACAATGTTTTTTTTTTCAAAAGCTGTTTGCTCGCTTATATAAAAGTATTAGGTGAAGGTAATTCGCTGAAAAAGCTGCCGTATTGTATTTGAGCTGCGCAGTATATGATTTACAGATTTGAAATAAATCTGAATAGCTATGAACGAAAGCAAAGAAAATGGATAAAATTAATCTTGTCGGCATTATCATTTCTACAATTATTGTTAATAAAATAAATTGTGTCCCCTATCGTGATGAAAACACCAAGGAGCTACAAAAAGTTATGCAGAAGGGGATATTTCAAAATAGGTTCGAGATTTCTAGAATGAACTCCCGGCTTACAAGATCAGAAGCGTCAATGAAGAATGTGACAAATACAAATAACAAGACATCAAGTAAAGGTAATGTTTTAAAGCAGCACGCCTCCAGATTCATGATAATTTTCATGAACATTTTGAAAATGTATTCAAATGTATAATATTGTGATATAACCAAAAGAAAGCCATTTACACATTATCAGTGGCACTTACAAGCCATGTAAATTACAAAAAAGTGGTCAAAATATGCATAAATAGCCCTTACTGCGTTAGTAACGCAGTAGAAATGTAGTTGTAAATACTAAAAAATCAGTCATTAACTGCACATAAGATGTAAAATATTACTTGAATCTGGAATCATGATACGTTTCCTAAAATCGCAGTGCATATTTCTCAAGTTTGATTTTATTGAAATATGTTGGCTCATCTGGAGGCATGCAGCTTTAATGCGTTCAATTAATTGTTATATGAAAACAGTCTGTCTTAATATATGTTATTTAAATTATTCGGAATCAAATATCAAATATTCAATTTGAGATTAGATTTAAATATTTTAAGCTTGTCATACGACAAAAATAGCATGCAAACATGAATTATGTTAACTTAATACAAATGTAGTGTAACGTAAGTTTTACCAGTAGTGTTGTGTTTTCCATACAAAATGTTTTCACTACAATATTACACACATGTATGGTTAATCCGTACAAAATGTTTTCACTACAATATTATACACATGTATGGTTAAATGGCCACAAAAAAGAATATTAAAGACAGCCCAACTGTATGGCAAATAAAAAACTGTTTCTAAAACAGAAACAGCCATTAAGATAAAAAGCTTTTGATAAATAAAATAATAGAAAAAAATATACTGTATATATAATATATAGATAAGGGGTTGAACTCGCCAAATAGGCCGAATGTCACTAGTCAAGTATAAGTCAAAATTGCAAAGTAATTTTAACGTAAATAATGTAAAGCTATATATCAAATTGCAGCATAATGGCATTACTAGACGTTGACAATAACATCATTGTCCCCAAGTTAACCATTTTTGAACAACAAAACCGATATTTCGGATGGAATATCGTATTTTTGCTAGGTCGGACAAAACCGTTCAACCAGTCCCCATTCGATTTTCTACGTGTAAACATGCACTTCCAAACCATGTCATGAAAAGGGGGGTTCATATGTTTCTCGAGTTTGTTTTGTAAATTATAATTACGGAGTCCATGGTATTATTTTACTTGTTACGTGTTTCTGTATATTATGAAAACTTAAGGTTTCTTCCTCTCTGTAACAGCAAAGACTATAAGTAAGATATTTGATTTGAAACAAACATTTTGAAGTGAAAAAAACACGCTTAGACTTCACACAATTGATATATGTTATGTTTAAAATTCTATACACTATAGGTGGTCACATTACGAATATACAGTGTCATTAAGAAACTGGCATTTTTAAAGAAAGAACCAACTTTACTTGACCTGTAATAGGGAACACAGCTTCCCATACAAAGTTAAGCAATTCTTTTATTCATTAAGAACTTTATAGATTTTAATAAACTGTGTTTAAAATATTTAACATTTAGGATGAGCATATTGTATCTTTAATTTTAGCCGTGGGATTAAAGCGGGACGCCTCCCACGAGACATTAGTTTTTTTATTATGTATATAGTAAAAACTTGAAAATCTTCTCTTTTGAACCCGCGAAGGCTACAAGTTATGAACATTTGCATAACACATCGTGTGATTGACCGCTGCTAAATCTTTTTTGAGTAAAAACTGGTCCCGCCCTTAAGAGGAGTGGGTTATCGGTTTCCAATGCAAGTATCGCCTCTGAAATTGCAAAGGCTAGAGTTTACTTCCATAGAAACCATTAACTATCCATGGCAACAAGAGTGAATTCCATAGCAACCATTGCCTTTCCATATCATATAATGACTTCCTTAGCAACCTTTACAAAATAAACTGTGAATTCATAGAACTTACTTATTTTCCTCAGGAACCAGTGACTTCCGTTGCAAACATTGACATTCCATAGCAGCCAGTGTTTTCCATAGCATACATTGACTTCCATAGCAACCAGTGACTTCCATAGCAGCCAGTGACTTCCATAGCAAATATTGACTTCCATAGCAACCAGTGACTTCCATAGCAGCCAGTGACTTCCATAGCAGCCAGTGACTTCCATAGCAAACATTGACTTCCATAGCAACCAGTGACTTCGATAGCCGCCAGTGACTTCCATAGCAGCCAGTGACTTCCATAGGAACCAGTGACTTACATAACAAATAGTGTCTTCCTAAAGCAAACTTTTACTTTTTTATGCAGTTTACTTAGACTTTTGACCTAATATCTGCTTTTGATTACGAGCTAAAAGTAATTTATATTATTTGTCCTTGTCATTTAGAGCTTTTATTCTCAGATGAGTGATATAAGGACCATAAGTGTCCTCTTGTTTATCTTAAGGTATATATATATATAGGATGTTTTAGAAGCTGAGACGTTAAAATACTGATAAGAATAAGGTATTTTGTTTGACAGAATCCAACGGGCTTTCAACAACTAAAAGCAACACTATTGACACATTAGAAGCTGAAGAGACAAGGGTTGGCAGTACAGACGTTCATAAAGCATCTATACAATCAAGACTTTTAAAGTTAATTGAAACGAAACTTTCGTCACTTTCTCTACAAGTTCAAGATTTGAAGAAACATGATGCAAATAAAAAAGGTATATTTCTAATCAACGTTATTCAGCCTATCAAAACATTTTATAGAACCTTATGTCCAATGATAATAACATTAAGCTGAACCGCGCCTGACCAATTTGTTTATCATTCAATGTATTCGTTTAACGAAATGAAGAATAAAAACACGTTAATAATAGTTTATGTTTTTCGCATTTTTATTCTGCTGAGTAATTTAAAGTGACAAAAAGAATTAAAAACTGTTTTTTTATCAGTCAAATTTTATCTGCAAATATGACTGCAGTTGCATGATAAAAGTTTTATGATATCACCATTACTATTAAAAGTAAGTATGTAAGTAAGTGAGATATGTCAGTTTTAACATGGCAGGATAAATGATAATATATTCTTTAGTTTACTATGGTGAATTTATAAGTTCTAAGTACATGGTCCAGTATTAACGGTTTAAGCTTCATATAAACCGAGATGTTAGGTAAGGGTTATATTGCAAACGACTGTTAATATATGACCATATAAACCGTCAAAAATCGTAATGATAATAATACAGACAAGTTCTTTATTTGCTGAAAAATGAAAAAAAGGTCCTAATAAATTTACAATAGCAGTGTATATAAATTATATTCATGTTTCGATTATCAACGTGCAGTATCATAAAATAGCTCCGATAGGATAGTGTGCACGAATTTTCAAAACTCTTACTGTTGTAGTACTTCTATATAAATTTACAATGAACACGTTTTTAAAATTAAAATTATAATAAACACAACCTGGAAACGTAAATTCCAATAACCACGTCCTAAAAACCAAAATTACAATACACTCGTCCTAAAAATGATATTACGCTCTACACTGACTCGCCTATATAACGCTTTCTTTTAACAACTCTTGTAAGAGCCTATATAATTATCTTTCCTTCTAGATGGTGGATGGTCAAGTTGGGAAAACTGGGGCTCCTGTAGTGAGAGTTGTGGGGGAGGAATGCAAAGTCGTCTAAGGACATGTTCTAATCCAACACCATCTTTACAAGGAAGATATTGTGGTGGAAGTCCCGACGAGATGAGAATTTGTAACAAACATCAGCGTCCAGGTATATAAAAAAAACTATAAACGCTTCGTTAAAAAAGATAAAGTTAAATACTTAAGAAAATGTTTTATTAAACGCTAATGACTGCTTTTACAGCTTCACGAGAACGCCAAGAACATGTTCAAACCCAAGACCATCTTTACAAGGTACATGTATTATGGTTAAAGATCGGAGTAACAAAGTATATAGACCTTTTTACAATGCGGTCCGTTGCTGTGCAAACCTGACCGGAAGAAGTATTTTCTCGCACATGCGCAATTTATGTATGCCAAACATATCACGCCAAACATGGAAATGAAGTTGACGTTCTTAGAAAATGGTGCGAAAGTTGACAATGCAAAATATCAAATCATATAAAAAATGGGAAAATGCAGCAAAATAGCATTAAGTTGAGCAGTTACGTGCATTTAATGGTAGCGAGAAAAAAACACAACATAAATGAACATATTCCAATCCTTCTTGTGTTGATTGTTATAAAATCCCGTATATTTTCATATACAATGTATTACGTGTAATAAACATCAAATGATACCGCTAATAGTCATGCCAAGCTGCTGTTTTCTTGGTGACATACTTTGAAACCACATAAGCCTTTGAGTACGAGAGTAGAAAAAGAATATGATCAATAGAACCCATCTTCATGCTTAGATTGTTTAGAAACTTGAAAGTTATTTTATAAAAAAAAGTCTCAATGTAAAAGTATTTGATCAAAAAATTCGGAAAGCATTTTGTGATAAAATAAAGTTGCCATTGACAAGCCTTGCCAAAGTATCCCTTACATTTAATAAATTGGGTAAAAGAATGAAAATGTGGTAAAACAGGTTTGATTAGACCTCGCTAATATAAACAAAAGTTGCACATATATAATAATTATTACAAAAAATGTACGTGCGAATCGTGCCATACCGTTTCTTACGGGGCACGTGATAAATATTTCATAACAAGAATTTGTTTAAAACGGATTTTTTTAAGAATTAACCAATAGACATGTTTATTTTTCGCGCATACATTTTTTTCTTATCGCCTTACTGTATTTTAATATATTTCTTTCAGAATTAAACGTGGCATTTACTGCATACCACATTGATACAAGCTCAAGGTCTGACACTACCATTGTGTTTCAGAATACACACATCAACTACGGAGATGCATATGACACATCAACAGGACAATTTACTTGTATAATTCCCGGCCTATATCATTTTTCTGTGACGCTAACAAAAAGTCATATTGGTAAACTGAATAATATTTGCGCAGATTTAAGGATCAATTCAAGTCGTCAATTGAGAATGTACTGGGACCCATATGAGGACGAAAAACTTGAATCTGAAGCGACCCCGTTAACACAGGCGGGAACATTTCACTTAAATAAAAATGATGTTGTAGATATTTACGGAAGTCCCTATTAATTTTATAGTTCATATTATTCTACATTTACAGGATAATTGATTATATGATATGGAAAGGCAATGGTTGCTATGGAATTCACTCTTGTTGCCATGGATAGTTAATGGTTTCTATGGAAGTAAACTCTAGCCTTTGCAATTTCAGAGGCGATACTTGCATTGGAAACCGATAACCCACTCCTCTTAAGGGCGGGACCAGTTTTTACTCAAAAAAGATTTAGCAGCGGTCAATCACACGATGTGTTATGCAAATGTTCATAACTTGTAGCCTTCGCGGGTTCAAAAGAGAAGATTTTCAAGTTTTTACTATATACATAATAAAAAAACTAATGTCTCGTGGGAGGCGTCCCGCTTTAATCCCACGGCTAAAATTAAAGATACAATATGCTCATCCTAAATGTTAAATATTTTAAACACAGTTTATTAAAATCTATAAAGTTCTTAATGAATAAAAGAATTGCTTAACTTTGTATGGGAAGCTGTGTTCCCTATTACAGGTCAAGTAAAGTTGGTTCTTTCTTTAAAAATGCCAGTTTCTTAATGACACTGTATATTCGTAATGTGACCACCTATAGTGTATAGAATTTTAAACATAACATATATCAATTGTGTGAAGTCTAAGCGTGTTTTTTTTCACGTTGTAACCAGTGACTTCGATAGCCGCCAGTGACTTCCATAGCAGCCAGTGACTTCCATAGGAACCAGTGACTTACATAACAAATAGTGTCTTCCTAAAGCAAACTTTTACTTTTTTATGCAGTTTACTTAGACTTTTGACCTAATATCTGCTTTTGATTACGAGCTAAAAGTAATTTATATTATTTGTCCTTGTCATTTAGAGCTTTTATTCTCAGATGAGTGATATAAGGACCATAAGTGTCCTCTTGTTTATCTTTAGGTATATATATATATAGGATGTTTTAGAAGCTGAGACGTTAAAATACTGATAAGAATAAGGTATTTTGTTTGACAGAATCCAACGGGCTTTCAACAACTAAAAGCAACACTATTGACACATTAGAAGCTGTAGAGACAAGGGTTGGCAGTACAGACGTTAATAAAGCATCTATACAATCAAGACTTTTAAAGTTAATTGAAACGAAACTTTCGTCACTTTCTCTACAAGTTCAAGATTTGAAGAAACATGATGCAAATAAAAAAGGTATATTTCTAATCAACGTTATTCAGCCTATCAAAACATTTTATAGAACCTTATGTCAATGATAATAACATTAAGCAGAAACCGCGCCTGACCAATTTGTTTATCATTCAATGTATTCGTTGACGAATGAAGAATAAAAACACGTTAATAATAGTTTATGTTTTTCGCATTTTTATTCTGCTGAGTAATTTAAAGTGACAAAAAGAATTAAAAACTGTTTTTATCAGTCAAATTTTATCTGCAAATATGACTGCAGTTGCATGATAAAAGTTTTATGATATCACCATTACTATTAAAAGTAAGTATGTAAGTAAGTGAGATATGTCAGTTTTAACATGGCAGGATAAATGATAATATATTCTTTAGTTTACTATGGTGAATTTATAAGTTCTAAGTACATGGTCCAGTATTAACGGTTTAAGCTTCATATAAACCGAGATGTTAGGTAAGGGTTATATTGCAAACGACTGTTAATATATGACCATATAAACCGTCAAAAATCGTAATGATAATAATACAGACAAGTTTCTTTATTTGCTGAAAAATGAAAAAAAGGTCCTAATAAATTTACAATAGCAGTGTATATAAATTATATTCATGTTTCGATTATCAACGTGCAGTATCATAAAATAGCTCCGATAGGATAGTGTGCACGAATTTTCAAAACTCTTACTGTTGTAGTACTTCTATATAAATTTACAATGAACACGTTTTTAAAATTAAAATTATAATAAACACAACCTGGAAACGTAAATTCCAATAACCACGTCCTAAAAACCAAAATTACAATACACTCGTCCTAAAAATGATATTACGCTCTACACTGACTCGCCTATATAACGCTTTCTTTTAACAACTCTTGTAAGAGCCTATATAATTATCTTTCCTTCTAGATGGTGGATGGTCAAGTTGGGAAAACTGGGGCTCCTGTAGTGAGAGTTGTGGGGGAGGAATGCAAAGTCGTCTAAGGACATGTTCTAATCCAACACCATCTTTACAAGGAAGATATTGTGGTGGAAGTCCCGACGAGATGAGAATTTGTAACAAACATCAGCGTCCAGGTATATAAAAAAAACTATAAACGCTTCGTTAAAAAAGATAAAGTTAAATACTTAAGAAATGTTTTATTAAACGCTAATGACTGCTTTTACAGCTTCACGAGAACGCCAAGAACATGTTCAAACCCAAGACCATCTTTACAAGGTACATGTATTATGGTTAAAGATCGGAGTAACAAAGTATATAGACCTTTTTACAATGCGGTCCGTTGCTGTGCAAACCTGACCGGAAGAAGTATTTTCTCGCACATGCGCAATTTATGTATGCCAAACATATCACGCCAAACATGGAAATGAAGTTGACGTTCTTAGAAAATGGTGCGAAAGTTGACAATGCAAAATATCAAATCATATAAAAAAATGGGAAAATGCAGCAAAATAGCATTAAGTTGAGCAGTTACGTGCATTTAATGGTAGCGAGAAAAAAACACAACATAAATGAACATATTCCAATCCTTCTTGTGTTGATTGTTATAAAATCCCGTATATTTTCATATACAATGTATTACGTGTAATAAACATCAAATGATACCGCTAATAGTCATGCCAAGCTGCTGTTTTCTTGGTGACATACTTTGAAACCACATAAGCCTTTGAGTACGAGAGTAGAAAAAGAATATGATCAATAGAACCCATCTTCATGCTTAGATTGTTTAGAAACTTGAAAGTTATTTTATAAAAAAAAGTCTCAATGTAAAAGTATTTGATCAAAAAATTCGGAAAGCATTTTGTGATAAAATAAAGTTGCCATTGACAAGCCTTGCCAAAGTATCCCTTACATTTAATAAATTGGGTAAAAGAATGAAAATGTGGTAAAACAGGTTTTGATTAGACCTCGCTAATATAAACAAAAGTTGCACATATATAATAATTATTACAAAAAATGTACGTGCGAATCGTGCCATACCGTTTCTTACGGGGGCACGTGATAAATATTTCATAACAAGAATTTGTTTAAAACGGATTTTTTTAAGAATTAACCAATAGACATGTTTATTTTTCGCGCATACATTTTTTTTCTTATCGCCTTACTGTATTTTAATATATTTCTTTTCAGAATTAAACGTGGCATTTACTGCATACCACATTGATACAAGCTCAAGGTCTGACACTACCATTGTGTTTTCAGAATACACACATCAACTACGGAGATGCATATGACACATCAACAGGACAATTTACTTGTATAATTCCCGGCCTATATCATTTTTCTGTGACGCTAACAAAAAGTCATATTGGTAAACTGAATAATATTTGCGCAGATTTAAGGATCAATTCAAGTCGTCAATTGAGAATGTACTGGGACCCATATGAGGACGAAAAAACTTGAATCTGAAGCGACCCCGTTAACACAGGCGGGAACATTTCACTTAAATAAAAATGATGTTGTAGATATTTACGGAAGTCCCTATTAATTTTATAGTTCATATTATTCTACATTTACAGGATAATTGATTATATGATATGGAAAGGCAATGGTTGCTATGGAATTCACTCTTGTTGCCATGGATAGTTAATGGTTTCTATGGAAGTAAACTCTAGCCTTTGCAATTTCAGAGGCGATACTTGCATTGGAAACGATAACCCACTCCTCTTAAGGGCGGGACCAGTTTTTACTCAAAAAAGATTTAGCAGCGGTCAATCACACGATGTGTTATGCAAATGTTCATAACTTGTAGCCTTCGCGGGTTCAAAAGAGAAGATTTTCAAGTTTTTACTATATACATAATAAAAAAACTAATGTCTCGTGGGAGGCGTCCCGCTTTAATCCCACGGCTAAAATTAAAGATACAATATGCTCATCCTAAATGTTAAATATTTTAAACACAGTTTATTAAAATCTATAAAGTTCTTAATGAATAAAAGAATTGCTTAACTTTGTATGGGAAGCTGTGTTCCCTATTACAGGTCAAGTAAAGTTGGTTCTTTCTTTAAAAATGCCAGTTTCTTAATGACACTGTATATTCGTAATGTGACCACCTATAGTGTATAGAATTTTAAACATAACATATATCAATTGTGTGAAGTCTAAGCGTGTTTTTTTCACGTTGTAACCAGTGACTTCGATAGCCGCCAGTGACTTCCATAGCAGCCAGTGACTTCCATAGGAACCAGTGACTTACATAACAAATAGTGTCTTCCTAAAGCAAACTTTTACTTTTTTATGCAGTTTACTTAGACTTTTGACCTAATATCTGCTTTTGATTACGAGCTAAAAGTAATTTATATTATTTGTCCTTGTCATTTAGAGCTTTTATTCTCAGATGAGTGATATAAGGACCATAAGTGTCCTCTTGTTTATCTTTAGGTATATATATATATAGGATGTTTTAGAAGCTGAGACGTTAAAATACTGATAAGAATAAGGTATTTTGTTTGACAGAATCCAACGGGCTTTCAACAACTAAAAGCAACACTATTGACACATTAGAAGCTGTAGAGACAAGGGTTGGCAGTACAGACGTTAATAAAGCATCTATACAATCAAGACTTTTAAAGTTAATTGAAACGAAACTTTCGTCACTTTCTCTACAAGTTCAAGATTTGAAGAAACATGATGCAAATAAAAAAGGTATATTTCTAATCAACGTTATTCAGCCTATCAAAACATTTTATAGAACCTTATGTCAATGATAATAACATTAAGCTGAACCGCGCCTGACCAATTTGTTTATCATTCAATGTATTCGTTGACGAATGAAGAATAAAAACACGTTAATAATAGTTTATGTTTTTCGCATTTTTATTCTGCTGAGTAATTTAAAGTGACAAAAAGAATTAAAAACTGTTTTTATCAGTCAAATTTTATCTGCAAATATGACTGCAGTTGCATGATAAAAGTTTTATGATATCACCATTACTATTAAAAGTAAGTATGTAAGTAAGTGAGATATGTCAGTTTTAACATGGCAGGATAAATGATAATATATTCTTTAGTTTACTATGGTGAATTTATAAGTTCTAAGTACATGGTCCAGTATTAACGGTTTAAGCTTCATATAAACCGAGATGTTAGGTAAGGGTTATATTGCAAACGACTGTTAATATATGACCATATAAACCGTCAAAAATCGTAATGATAATAATACAGACAAGTTCTTTATTTGCTGAAAAATGAAAAAAAGGTCCTAATAAATTTACAATAGCAGTGTATATAAATTATATTCATGTTTCGATTATCAACGTGCAGTATCATAAAATAGCTCCGATAGGATAGTGTGCACGAATTTTCAAAACTCTTACTGTTGTAGTACTTCTATATAAATTTACAATGAACACGTTTTTAAAAATTAAAATTATAATAAACACAACCTGGAAACGTAAATTCCAATAACCACGTCCTAAAAACCAAAATTACAATACACTCGTCCTAAAAATGATATTACGCTCTACACTGACTCGCCTATATAACGCTTTCTTTTAACAACTCTTGTAAGAGCCTATATAATTATCTTTCCTTCTAGATGGTGGATGGTCAAGTTGGGAAAACTGGGGCTCCTGTAGTGAGAGTTGTGGGGGAGGAATGCAAAGTCGTCTAAGGACATGTTCTAATCCAACACCATCTTTACAAGGAAGATATTGTGGTGGAAGTCCCGACGAGATGAGAATTTGTAACAAACATCAGCGTCCAGGTATATAAAAAAAACTATAAACGCTTCGTTAAAAAAGATAAAGTTAAATACTTAAGAAATGTTTTATTAAACGATAATGACTGCTTTTACAGCTTCACGCGAACGCCAAGAACATGTTCAAACCCAAGACCATCTTTACAAGGTACATGTATTATGGTTAAAGATCGGAGTAACAAAGTATATAGACCTTTTTACAATGCGGTCCGTTGCTGTGCAAACCTGACCGGAAGAAGTATTTTCTCGCACATGCGCAATTTATGTATGCCAAACATATCACGCCAAACATGGAAATGAAGTTGACGTTCTTAGAAAATGGTGCGAAAGTTGACAATGCAAAATATCAAATCATATAAAAAAATGGGAAAATGCAGCAAAATAGCATTAAGTTGAGCAGTTACGTGCATTTAATGGTAGCGAGAAAAAAACACAACATAAATGAACATATTCCAATCCTTCTTGTGTTGATTGTTATAAAATCCCGTATATTTTCATATACAATGTATTACGTGTAATAAACATCAAATGATACCGCTAATAGTCATGCCAAGCTGCTGTTTTCTTGGTGACATACTTTGAAACCACATAAGCCTTTGAGTACGAGAGTAGAAAAAGAATATGATCAATAGAACCCATCTTCATGCTTAGATTGTTTAGAAACTTGAAAGTTATTTTATAAAAAAAAGTCTCAATGTAAAAGTATTTGATCAAAAAATTCGGAAAGCATTTTGTGATAAAATAAAGTTGCCATTGACAAGCCTTGCCAAAGTATCCCTTACATTTAATAAATTGGGTAAAAGAATGAAAATGTGGTAAAACAGGTTTGATTAGACCTCGCTAATATAAACAAAAGTTGCACATATATAATAATTATTACAAAAAATGTACGTGCGAATCGTGCCATACCGTTTCTTACGGGGGCACGTGATAAATATTTCATAACAAGAATTTGTTTAAAACGGATTTTTTTAAGAATTAACCAATAGACATGTTTATTTTTCGCGCATACATTTTTTTCTTATCGCCTTACTGTATTTTAATATATTTCTTTCAGAATTAAACGTGGCATTTACTGCATACCACATTGATACAAGCTCAAGGTCTGACACTACCATTGTGTTTCAGAATACACACATCAACTACGGAGATGCATATGACACATCAACAGGACAATTTACTTGTATAATTCCCGGCCTATATCATTTTTCTGTGACGCTAACAAAAAGTCATATTGGTAAACTGAATAATATTTGCGCAGATTTAAGGATCAATTCAAGTCGTCAATTGAGAATGTACTGGGACCCATATGAGGACGAAAAACTTGAATCTGAAGCGACCCCGTTAACACAGGCGGGAACATTTCACTTAAATAAAAATGATGTTGTAGATATTTACGGAAGTCCCTATTAATTTTATAGTTCATATTATTCTACATTTACAGGATAATTGATTATATGATGATATGGAAAGGCAATGGTTGCTATGGAATTCACTCTTGTTGCCATGGATAGTTAATGGTTTCTATGGAAGTAAACTCTAGCTTTGCAATTTCAGAGGCGATACTTGCATTGGAAACCGATAACCCACTCCTCTTAAGGGCGGGACCAGTTTTTACTCAAAAAGATTTAGCAGCGGTCAATCACACGATGTGTTATGCAAATGTTCATAACTTGTAGCCTTCGCGGGTTCAAAAGAGAAGATTTTCAAGTTTTTACTATATACATAATAAAAAAAACTAATGTCTCGTGGGAGGCGTCCCGCTTTAATCCCACGGCTAAAATTAAAGATACAATATGCTCATCCTAAATGTTAAATATTTTAAACACAGTTTATTAAAATCTATAAAAGTTCTTAATGAATAAAAGAATTGCTTAACTTTGTATGGGAAGCTGTGTTCCCTATTACAGGTCAAGTAAAGTTGGTTCTTTCTTTAAAAATGCCAGTTTCTTAATGACACTGTATATTCGTAATGTGACCACCTATAGTGTATAGAATTTTAAACATAACATATATCAATTGTGTGAAGTCTAAGCGTGTTTTTTTTCACGTTGTAACCAGTGACTTCGATAGCCGCCAGTGACTTCCATAGCAGCCAGTGACTTCCATAGGAACCAGTGACTTACATAACAAATAGTGTCTTCCTAAAGCAAAACTTTTACTTTTTTATGCAGTTTACTTAGACTTTTGACCTAATATCTGCTTTTGATTACGAGCTAAAAGTAATTTATATTATTTGTCCTTGTCATTTAGAGCTTTTATTCTCAGATGAGTGATATAAGGACCATAAGTGTCCTCTTGTTTATCTTTAGGTATATATATATATAGGATGTTTTAGAAGCTGAGACGTTAAAATACTGATAAGAATAAGGTATTTTGTTTGACAGAATCCAACGGGCTTTCAACAACTAAAAGCAACACTATTGACACATTAGAAGCTGTAGAGACAAGGGTTGGCAGTACAGACGTTAATAAAGCATCTATACAATCAAGACTTTTAAAGTTAATTGAAACGAAACTTTCGTCACTTTCTCTACAAGTTCAAGATTTGAAGAAACATGATGCAAATAAAAAAGGTATATTTCTAATCAACGTTATTCAGCCTATCAAAACATTTTATAGAACCTTATGTCAATGATAATAACATTAAGCTGAACCGCGCCTGACCAATTTGTTTATCATTCAATGTATTCGTTGACGAATGAAGAATAAAAACACGTTAATAATAGTTTATGTTTTTCGCATTTTTTATTCTGCTGAGTAATTTAAAGTGACAAAAAGAATTAAAAACTGTTTTTATCAGTCAAATTTTATCTGCAAATATGACTGCAGTTGCATGATAAAAGTTTTATGATATCACCATTACTATTAAAAGTAAGTATGTAAGTAAGTGAGATATGTCAGTTTTAACATGGCAGGATAAATGATAATATATTCTTTAGTTTACTATGGTGAATTTATAAGTTCTAAGTACATGGTCCAGTATTAACGGTTTAAGCTTCATATAAACCGAGATGTTAGGTAAAGGTTATATTGCAAAACGACTGTTAATATATGACCATATAAACCGTCAAAAATCGTAATGATAATAATACAGACAAGTTCTTTATTTGCTGAAAAATGAAAAAAAGGTCCTAATAAATTTACAATAGCAGTGTATATAAATTATATTCATGTTTCGATTATCAACGTGCAGTATCATAAAATAGCTCCGATAGGATAGTGTGCACGAATTTTCAAAAACTCTTACTGTTGTAGTACTTCTATATAAATTTACAATGAACACGTTTTTTAAATTAAAATTATAATAAACACAACCTGGAAACGTAAATTCCAATAACCACGTCCTAAAACCAAAATTACAATACACTCGTCCTAAAAATGATATTACGCTCTACACTGACTCGCCTATATAACGCTTTCTTTTAAACAACTCTTGTAAGAGCCTATATAATTATCTTTCCTTCTAGATGGTGGATGGTCAAGTTGGGAAAAACTGGGGCTCCTGTAGTGAGAGTTGTGGGGGAGGAATGCAAAGTCGTCTAAGGACATGTTCTAATCCAACACCATCTTTACAAGGAAGATATTGTGGTGGAAGTCCCGACGAGATGAGAATTTGTAACAAACATCAGCGTCCAGGTATATAAAAAAAAAACTATAAACGCTTCGTTAAAAAAGATAAAGTTAAATACTTAAGAAATGTTTTTATTAAACGCTAATGACTGCTTTTTACAGCTTCACGAGAACGCCAAGAACATGTTCAAACCCAAGACCATCTTTACAAGGTACATGTATTATGGTTAAAGATCGGAGTAACAAAGTATATAGACCTTTTTACAATGCGGTCCGTTGCTGTGCAAACCTGACCGGAAGAAGTATTTTCTCGCACATGCGCAATTTATGTATGCCAAACATATCACGCCAAACATGGAAATGAAGTTGACGTTCTTAGAAAATGGTGCGAAAGTTGACAATGCAAAATATCAAATCATATAAAAAATGGGAAAATGCAGCAAAATAGCATTAAGTTGAGCAGTTACGTGCATTTAATGGTAGCGAGAAAAAAAACACAACATAAATGAACATATTCCAATCCTTCTTGTGTTGATTGTTATAAAATCCCGTATATTTTCATATACAATGTATTACGTGTAATAAACATCAAATGATACCGCTAATAGTCATGCCAAGCTGCTGTTTTCTTGGTGACATACTTTGAAACCACATAAGCCTTTGAGTACGAGAGTAGAAAAAAGAATATGATCAATAGAACCCATCTTCATGCTTAGATTGTTTAGAAACTTGAAAGTTATTTTATATAAAAAAAAGTCTCAATGTAAAAGTATTTGATCAAAAAATTCGGAAAGCATTTTGTGATAAAATAAAGTTGCCATTGACAAGCCTTGCCAAAGTATCCCTTACATTTAATAAATTGGGTAAAAGAATGAAAATGTGGTAAAACAGGTTTGATTAGACCTCGCTAATATAAACAAAAGTTGCACATATATAATAATTATTACAAAAAATGTACGTGCGAATCGTGCCATACCGTTTCTTACGGGGCACGTGATAAATATTTCATAACAAGAATTTGTTTAAAACGGATTTTTTTTAAGAATTAACCAATAGACATGTTTATTTTTCGCGCATACATTTTTTCTTATCGCCTTACTGTATTTTAATATATTTCTTTCAGAATTAAACGTGGCATTTACTGCATTACCACATTGATACAAGCTCAAGGTCTGACACTACCATTGTGTTTCAGAATACACACATCAACTACGGAGATGCATATGACACATCAACAGGAAAATTTACTTGTATAATCCCCGGCCTATATCATTTTTCTGTGACGCTAACAAAAAGTCATATTGGTAAACTGAATAATATTGGCGCAGATTTAAGGATCAATTCAAGCCGCCAATTGAGAATGTACTGGGACCCATATGAGGACGAAAAACTTGAATCTGAAGCGACCCCGTTAACACAGGCGGGAACATTTCACTTAAATAAAAATGATGTTGTAGATATTTACGGAAGTCCCTATTAATTTTATAGTTCATATTATTCTACATTTACAGGATAATTGATTACGTCTGATTATTGAGGAAAATATGACAACAACTAAACGATATACATCTTTAAACTTATTTTTTATGGTGTACTAATACATACTGGTGTATACAAATTGTTCTCAAATTAATGTCTAATTAAATGTTATTGTTTATTTATAGGCACGGCTCCATTAATAATAATAAAAAAGGCCGGAACACTGGGCATACGAAACCCAGTTAAGGTATCCCCCTTCCAAATCAAAACAAATGACAAAAACTGTATAAATTATCATTATTATTATTATTATTATGATTATTATTATCATTTTCATTATTATCATTATCATCATTATTATTATCATTATTATCATTACCATCATTATTATTATCATTATCATTATCATTATCATCATCATTATCATTATCATTATCATTATTATTATTATTATTATTATTATTATTATTATTATTATTAATATTATTGTTTAGGAAATAGATATCAATTCTGAGTGTATTTTTGTAGAATAATGCACGGTTACGAAATATGTTAAAAGAACTTTTAGAAATAATGCAATGCAAGTATGGAATAATTTACCTTTATATATTAAAGAGTCTTCGTCTCAATATGCTTTTAAAAGAAATATGAAAAAATATTTGATTGATATACAATTTAAATGAATCTGATGTATGCATGTGTCTGTCAATTTGAATGGTTGTTTATGTTGTTTTTAATATGTGTGTACATATTTGTGACTTTCATTATCTTGTTTAATTGAAGGCCATATTGTAAATAAGATTTGTATTTCTTAATGTGTTACCTTCATAAAATAAAGTGTTTATTATTATTATTATTATTATTTGAGTTCAAATGCGTAGTAATATAATCACGAAGGCCGATAGGCCTGAGTGATTAATGATGTGATGTCCTATAGACTAATGTTATAATGTATGTGAGACCACCATAGTATATATGTATGTTGTATGTAAAATGATACCGGGACTTCCGGAAAAACATGGGACCTTAGTAAACACGATTAAAGCAGAAACATAGTTGTTATCAATTAATATCCACCATTAGGACTTATCATCTGGCAACGAGGATAAAAACAAACAAAACGGAATTACTTATATAATATTTGGATATATTTTTCATGTGTTAATTGATGGATTAAGACGTTAACCATGAACAATTTACCAGCATTTCCAAGTTTTGATCTTGAAACGGATAAATCCAATGCAGGCACGCGTTGGGAGAAATGGATTGGGCGCCTCGAAAATTTATTTGTGGGGATGAAAATATCAAACGCTGACCAGAGAAGAGCATTATTACTACATTACGCCGGAGAAAAAGTGTACGACATCTATGACGTAGAGAAAAAGGACAGCGCAGCGACATATGACGCAACAAAAAAGGTACTTAGCGACTATTTTGCTCCCAGAAAGAACGTTCAAATTGAAATTTTACAACTTTAGATCATACAAGCAATTAGAAGCACAAACGATTGATGAATATGTGACTGAGTTAAGAACTTTGGCAAAGAACTGTGCATTCGCAGACATTGACAATGAAATTTTACAACAAGTGATACAACATGGCCGCTCAAATCAACTCAGAAGAAGAGCGTTACGTGAACCAGATAAAAAACTCGATGACATTATTACAATGGGACGTATGTTTTGAACAATCAGATATGCAAGCATCCGCAAATGGAAAAATTCAGAAAATTCTAGATCTGTACACAAGGTTTTCAAAGTTCAATAGTAGAACACGAGGACGAGAGCCGATGCCTCATGGCCGTGGGAACAGTAGAGGGTCGTATGCAAATTTTGGAGGTCGTGGAAATATGGTCCGAAGAACCAATCGAATCAACGAAGTAGACCACGTGATGGTGCGTCAGCCAATACTTGCAGAAAATGTGGTTATGAATTCCCGCACAGAGATAAGCCGTGCCCAGCCACAGGTAAAACCTGCAATGTATGCAAGAAACCTAATCATTTCGCGCGCTGCTGTTTAGCGCCGAAATATCAGCATGTCAAAGAGGTCAGCGATAACGCCAGCAGTTCGCTACAGTTCGATTCGGAAGAGGATACCTCTATAACATCACAGTGAAAAATGTCGGTAAACAAAAAGGATCAAAAACGCCCAAAAACACAGATAAAAGTCAACGATAAAACGATTACGGCTACAATAGACATAGGATCAAGTGTGAATATACTAGATGAAACCACGTATGATTACTTAGGAAAACCTAAAATAAAAACAAAAGGGCTGCCAAATTTACTTCCATACGGAGGGGGAAGTGCATTAAACGTAAAGGGCTGTGTGAATTTAACGGTCGAAAAGAACAGAAAATACACAGTAACACCATTTATATAGTGAAAGGAAACCATGGAGCTCTATTAGGGTGTGAAACATCATGTGAATTAGAAATAATAAAAAATAAACAAGGGATAACGGCCAATATGGAAGATAAATATCAAGGAATTTATGACGGTATTGGGAAATTAAAAAGGACAAAAAGTCAAATTACACATAAACCGTGATGTAAAACCTGTAGCGCAGAGAAATCGACGTACGCCATTTCATTTAAGAAAGAAAGTTCAAAAGGAAATTGAAAAGCTACTTGAAAATGACATCATAGAAGAAGTTAAAAATGAATCAACAACATGGGTGTCACCGATTGTCCCCCACCGAAGAAAAATGGAGATGTAAGATTATGCATAGACATGAGAGAGGCAAACATAGCTATTGAAAGAGAACGGCATCCAATGCCAACAATAGATGAACTTATACACGACATGAACGGTGCAAAAAGTGTTCAGCAAACTAGAATTTAAAAGCTGGATATAATCAGCTGGAATTAGATGAAGAATCGAGATCAATCACTACATTCTCTACACACATGGGCTTATACAGATATAAACGTTTGAATTTCGGTACTAACTCTGCAAGTGAAGTGTTTCAGAAAAACAATCAGTTCTATCATTCAAGACATAGCTGGTGCCAGAATATTTCGGATGATATAATAGTGTATGGAAACAGTCAAAAAAGATCACGACAAGGCACTTGATCAAGTTTTTCATGGCATTGCATCGTAACGGGCTGACATTAAATAGAGAAAAATGTGAATTTAACAAGCTTGAAATCACATTCTTTGGAGTTGTATTCAGAGGAGACGGCATTTCACCTGATCCAGTGAAGGTTCGAGCAGTGAGAGACATGCAACAGCCCACAAACGTATCTGAATTGAGGAGTTTTCTCGGAATGACATCGTATTGCTCGAGATTTATAAAGGATTATGCGACAATAACGGAACCATTGAGGCGTTTAACAAAAAAGGACACACCCTGGTCATGGGAAAATGATCAACAAGTCGCGTTCGAGAAACTGAAAAGAGAATTAAAGTAGTGATACGGTTATCACATACTTTAGTCCATTAAAAGAAATTGAGCTAATAGTAGATGCTTCACCAGTCGGTATATCTGGGATACTCACACAGGAAGGAAAAAATTATTCGCGTACGCGTCTCGTGCACTGTCACAGACAGAATCACGTTACTCACAAACAGAAAGAGAGGCTCTGGCAGTAGTATGGTCGTGTGAGCACTATTCGATGTACTTAAGAGGTGCTCCAACTTTCACGTGCTTCACAGATCACATGCCACTGACGAAAATATGGCAGAAGAAACAGCCACCACTACGAATTGAAACGATGGGGATTACGTCTACAACCATTTATGTAAAAATTGAATACAGGCCTGGAAAGGATAACCCGTCTGACTACATGTCTCGTCATCCGTTGAAATGTGACGAGCAGAGAAATATAGCCGAGGAATATGTAGCATTCGTTTCCGCACAGGCAGTGCCAAATGCAATGACACTAGATGAAGTAAAAATAGAATCAGTCAAAGATAAAACTATACAGAAAGCAATTGAAATACGAAAAGAATGGAAAATGGCATGAAATGAAAACAGTGACAGATTTTAAAATCGACATGGAAGAGCTGGTGGTACTCAGAAGCGTAAAAGATGAATTGACGGTTCACAATGACACCGTCTGATTAGAATGACAAATTAGTGATACCGAAAACACTCCGAAATCGTGCGATAAAACTGGGACATGAAGGGCACCAGGGAATTGTTAAAACTAAAAGCTATATACGATCAAAGGTATGGTTCCGAACATGAATGCAGAAATTGAAACAGCAATACAAAAATGTCTAGCCTGTCAAGCCAACTCAAGGGAACCAAGACCGCGAGAACCACTGAAAATGTCAGATTTGCCATCTGGACCTTGGAAAAATATAAGTGCAGATTTTTGTGGACCTCTAGAAAACGGTGATTACCTATTGGTTGCAGTAGATGAGTACTCGCGATATCCAATAGTGGAAAAAGTAAAGAGTGTTTCAGCAAATATGGTCATACCGGTTATGGACAAAATAATTTCAATGTTTGGTGTCCCCAAAGTGATTAAAACAGATAATGGATCGCCATTTAATAGTACGGCATTTTGCGGACATTGCAAAATTTTACGGTTTTATACACAGAAAAAATCACGCCTAGGTGGCCAAGGGCTAATGCTCAGGCAGAAGCATTCAACAAACCGTTGATGAAGAGTGTTAAATCGGCATTCATGGAGGGAAGGAATTACAAACAAGAACTGTTTCAGATTTCTCCGCCAGTACAGAGCTACACCGCACGTGTCAATTGGATTTTACGCCATTTCGGCTAATGTTCGGAAGGGAACCGGTAACGCGTATGCCAGACATTAATCAACACCAAAATGAGGACACGCGTGCAGACGAAATAGCACGAAGAAATGATGAGTTATCAAAAGCAAAATCAAAACAATACGAGGACCAGCGAATGAACGCACGAGAACGAAACATTAACGTCGGAGACAGAGTTTTACTTAGAAACGAAACACCAAGAAAGTCAAGTACAATGTATAATCCAGTCCATATAAAGTTTATAAACAAAAAGGGACCAATGATAAGTGTTCGAATGATGAAGGACATTGTGTCACCAGGAACTCATCTGTTATGAAAACAGTAGATCCAGACTTAATGGGGAATACGCCTAAACAGCACGGGG